GACTAGAGAAGCCTTGTGTGGAGAGACGGCCCTCCGCTGATTTATGGGTGCTGTCAGGACACCCGGCGTGGAGACCCGGGCTGTGTGGGTCCCAGCCGATAGGGTTCTTTCTCCTGGCATTCTAATCATCCAACTCGGATCGATTCCAAACTCGGCCAGTCTGGGAGCTCCAGTTGTGGTCTGCTTTTGCTCCAGCTGTAGTGGTTGGCAGTATGAAGAGTAACGTGTATTCTGAGTAACCTGAATACTCTGGCAAATCTTTAAAGCTGTTATAAAAGCAAGAAGAGTTATTGAGTCCTATAAAGTAAAATAGCAATGCGATAATAGTGCACAGAGCAAAGGCATCCAGTGCTTAATGTCCAGGAAATATGCTTATAGAATTGGGCAGTGGCAAGGGGTGGGAGTGGTGTTGCTGAATGATCAGCTAGGCATAAGAAATTGCCTGGCTGCTGTGGCTCAGTGGTTGAGTGTCGACCCACGCACCAAGAGGTTGCTGGTTTGATTCCTGGTCAGGACACAAACCCAGATTGTGGGCCCGATCCCTAGTGGGGGAAGGGGGCGTGCAGGAAGCGGCAGATCAGTGTTGCTGGTCTCTCTTATCAATGTTTCCATCTCTCCCTCTCCCTCCCCCTCTAAAATCAATAAAGGAAAAAAAAAAAAGCTAGTTTGATCTGCCTGTTGCCTATATAAATTAGGTAAGGTGTATCACAGAGAATGATGGCTGGTACTTTTTCTCCTGAAGTGGCTCAAGAAAAAAAATTGGGGGGCAGACACCAAATACAATATGGGGTCTAACAGAAAATACCCATATTCAAACACATAAATTGGGCCTAGAAGCCAGTAGGAATGCCAGATACCAGCAGAGGTTTTTATCAAGATTTTGTACTTTCCAGAATGTTAATTACCAGCTGATGAGTTATTTGTGCTGTCTCACTTCAGGAAATTGGCTTCCAGTGTTGAGCTATTCTGAACCTTTGACAATCTTTTTGAATCCCTAAATAGCAACCCTTATTAAGGCATAAAAACTAGAGTGGCTTGAAATAAGAAAACAGTGAATGTTATTTTTAAGAACAGGTGAGAGACAATGAGACTTGTTACTAAGCTATTTCCTCATCCTAACAAGGGCATAGTAAGAATAGCTACCTCCTAGGATTGTGATGATGGTTAGTTGAAAATACATGCAAAACCAGCAGGATTTGTGAGTGGTGCAGATACTAAGCATTCAGTAGTCATTAGCTGTATTGTCACTGGCATCATTCTTAGGATGGGAGAAGGGGGAGAGGTCCTCCTAAATCTTCAGCTTTCTTTTGTTTTCAAATTTAAGTAAATGGCCTTACAACATTGAAGTTCTTAAGTGGGCGGAAGTCTTGGGACTCTGTTAAAAGTGTAAACATAGTATGTGAAGTCTTTTTTTTTTAAATTTATCTTTATTGTTGAAAGTATTACAGATGCCCCTCCTTTTTAGCTCCCATTGACTATAATAGTGTTCACTTTGTTATTAATTCCCTGGCCTGGTAATTAATTCATTGATGAAAGTTTGCATTCCCTCTTGAGACTCCTGCATCCCCTGGTTGATATCAGATAAGTTATTTTTTTAAATCTTCACTTGATATTTTTCCATTGATTTTTCAGATGGAAAGGGAGGGAGAGTGGGGAGTGGAAGAGAGAAACATCTATGTGAGAGAGAAACGTCGATTGGTTGCCTCCGGCATGACCAGGACTGGAGCTGGGGGTCAAACCCACGACCCAGGTACATGTCCTTGACTGGGAATTGAACCTGAGACCCTCTGGTCCGACAGCCAACGCTCCAGATGCTGGGCCAAACTGGCTAGGGCTGCCATTCTTTTTTCTTTTTTTTTTTTTTTTATCCTCACCCGAGGATATTTTTCCATTTTTTGTACAGATAGAGTGGGAGAGAGAAACATTGACGTAAAAGGGACACATCGAGTGGCTGCCACCCACACGACCAACCCGACCAACCAGGGCCGGGGACAAACTGCAACCGAAGTACGTGGCCTTAGCGGGAACCGAACCCGGGTCTCTCCGGACCGCAGACCGACGCTCTAACCGCTGAGCCAAACCGGCCAGGGCAGGGCTGCCATTCTTACTCAGTTGCTTGATAGGCAGACCAGTGAAGCCGCCGCAGCCTGGGCTTTTCTCCGTGGGACGACTTTAGGTTCATAATTGCGCGTCTTTGCTGCCCTGGTCGAGCGAGCGGGAGGAAGGCAGAGTCGCAGGGCCGCGCTGTCCTTACCTGGACTCCTGGCCTCGAACGAAAGCTTCCCGGCTGTTGGGCCGTGTGCCGTGGCCCACATCCGGGGCACGGAAACAGCTGGGCTGACAGTCCTGTCTAGGCTATGGTTGCCTGTTGGGGAGAGGGTTTGTCGGTGTTCCCGTGCCATCCTGCCAGGCCTCCGTGGGCTTCCCTCCGCGTGGCCCAGCAGCGGCAGCCCCGGCCTAGCAGCTTCCCAGAGCGCTCCTGCCCCGGCCGCCCTACTCCGGTTCTGCCCCGGGGCGGCCCTCGGCTCCTTCCCCGTGTCCTCACCCCCGCAGCCCCACGAAAACCCAGAAACCGCTTTTGAAGTCACCGGAGTTTCCACGTTACCAGATCCACGGCCGTTCTCGGTCTTCGTTCCCCTCGCACTGTCCAGTGGCACCTGACGCAGGAGATGACCGCCCGGTGGCGGAGACGCGTTTGCGGGGGGCCAGGCTCGCCCTGCTCTCCCCCTCGGGCCATCGTGGCGACTTGCGCCCCCCTCCCCAGGCTCAGCCTGCGCCCTCACTCAGGGCCTGTCCACCGGCTCCCAGAACGTCAGTCACTCCGACTTGCCGCACTGCTGTCTCCCCCGAAGCCGCCAGACCTTCCCGCCGGGTGCCGGCGACCTCGCCCTTCCGGGTGCCCGGCCAGCCCCCGAGGAGGCCGCGTGAGGTCTCCCCTCAGACCCCGTCCCAGCCCTCCGCCGAACTCGCTGGCCGCGGGTTAGGGGATTCAGAAACCCACTGCGGCCCGCCGCCTCGAGCGGTTCGCGTGTCCGCCTCGCCTCCTGACAGGACGTGTACTTAGTGCGTCGGCCGGTGCGATCTTCCACGAACATCACGTTCTCGGTCCTCCCAGAATCCTCCGCGGCCTCCGGGCTCCGCTTAGCCCGCGCCGCCCTCACCACCTCCCCTTCCGGCCCTTTTGAGTCACTCCCGTGCCCGTGCCAAGCGTGCTCCTCACTCAGGCTCTGCACTGCTGTTGCGGGGTACTCACACCGGCTCCTGACCCTTCCTGAGTCCCCCAACCACGCCAGGCGGCCTCCCTTGGCCCCTCCGCGTACCTCTTCTCCACAGCGCTTTTACCGTCTCGTCCCTGTGCCTCCCCTACTCCGACGCAAGCTCCGGGAGCGTAGAAATTGTAGTGTTTGCTGGTGGCGTCTCCGGGGAGCTGCAGCAGTGTAGTGTGCGTGGAATAACCTTTAAAACCACCCTCAGTTCGAGGACTGCACAGCCGACTCTGGCTGGAGTTTGCCAACCCCTGCTGTTTCCTCAAGAAGGGCTTCTAGTCATTGTTTGTTTGGCTGGATATAAAATTCTTGGGCCACATAGGGATGAGCCATATATTATTTTCCTTATAAGTTACTTGCTGTTTTTGCCTAGATGCCCAAGGGACTTTTCTCTCTTTCTTTACAGTGCAGTTGGTGTTGGTCATTCTGGGTTGATATTCTCAGGTATGTGGTATGTTAATTCAATATGTAGTTTTGCTTTGTTGTTCAAGTTCTTTTTCTTATTTTTTTAGAGTAACAAAGATAAGAAAAAGATTTATGCATTGATTGAAAATGCCCTCGATACATTTTTTTAATATATGTCATCTCACATAGTTGTGTGTGCGTGTGGTAAGATCACTTTTTACTCTTCAAGATTTCGAGTAAATAGTCTTATTGACTAGTCACCGTGTTATATATTAGTACTACACAACTTAGTTCATCCTGCATGATTGAAACTTTGCACTCTTAAACTTTTTAAAAAATTATAGTTTGTTTCATTTCCATGCCTTATTTTTTCCCACTGCAAGAACTCCTGTTATTCTTGTGTTGGATCTTCTTTGCTTAAAATAAGCACCTATTTGCCACTCTCTCGTGCTTTAGTTCCGCATTTCTGAGTTACCATTTTCTTAATGACCTTCAACTCACTTTGCAATTGGATAGTTTGACTTACTTTCTGGGCATGTCTTTCTGGCATGTTTCACTGTCTGGACAGATGTTCTGTTCCATGTTCTCTTCACCTGAAGGGTCTAAGATTGTAGGAGGAAGAGTGGTTCAGGGTAGTTTTTCTGGCTTCACAGTTCCTCAAACCTTGGACTCCTATTGATTGGACACTTACCCTCTTTTTCAGTCATTTTTACCCACTTGCTTTTTATCACAGTAACCACCCCAAAACTATGTCATCAAAATGATGCAGAGCAATCCTGCTGACACTGAGCTGCATTGAGCTAGTAGTTCCTAGAGCCTGGCAGGTGTCGACTATTACTCCATTGTGCCCCTGCGAGTTTGCCGTGGTCCCTGCGACACTCTGGCCTACAGTTGAGGTGATGCTGCTGCTGTTGATCTGGAGACCACACCTGAGAAACCAGTAGGACTTTTAACTGCTTAAAAAAAAATAAAAGAGTAGAAAGAAGAAAGATTTTCAAAGTTGTACTGCCAGCCAAGAAGAAAACAACTTCCTTTGGACTCATGTACTCAGACAGGCAAGCAGATTGATTAAAAAGAATATATTCAAATCAGTTTGGAAACAGGTGTGCGCGTGCATTTGTGCATGTGCATGTGGAAGAAGTCTTGCTTGCTGATGCATGTACACTTAAATGTATGCTGGGAAAACTAGGATGTGTTTCTTTGCCTTAATGTAGTTTTCTAACTGGGGGGGCGGGGGGACTACTTTGAGTTGATGAAAAGTAGTAAGAGAGCATACTTGCATGCTTTATTGACCTTGATGTTTAAAATAATTTGATGGTAAATCTTTGAATTTGCTTTTGTGACCTGCCATGGTGAATTTGATTGACGGCTAGTTTCAGATATAGTCCACCAGCCTGCCAAATAGTGAATTTTTATGCAGAAAATTGTGTCTTTCAAAAGAAGGTAAAGATACGGATATGGCCAGACTCCTCCATACCAGATTCATCATGCAGAGAATTTTGGAGGTAGTTCCAAGTAAAACGTGCCCCCAATATACACCGTAATGAAGAGAAATATGGTTGACTTCTAAGAGCGATCACCTGCTTGCCAGTGAAGTGACAGGTACAACTTCCCTCGTGCTAAGGAGTTGAAGGTTGTGCTCTGTTTCTCTTCAGTCATTTATGATGAGGATAAAAAGTGGAGCACTAGAGAAGGTGCAAGACAGTGGGCCTCCTGCATGTCTCGCCTTCTCCCGCCAGGGCCCCAGGAAATGGGGGCAACTGTCTTGTCCCCTCTCCCCCCCAATCCCTTTTCTGATTTACGAAATCCGACAACTGATAGTAGACTGTCGACTGTATTGCTCAGTGGGGTCCAGAGCTCTACAGAAAGCCGAGCCCTGCTCTGCACTTCCCAGCCGAGAAGCGGGACGTGGGTGTTGAATCAGCCGCTTCTCTTCCTAACAAAGGGTCTTGATAGATGACATGCTAGAGCAGCCCCCTGCTGGAGCCTAACCTCTTCTCCAGGATGAACATGGGCTTCAGTCGTCTGCTCTTTACAAAACTGGTCTTCAAGGTCTTACTTAAATATAGAGAAAAAGGAATGGGGATTTGGCTTTTGGCCATGCTTTTCTAAGACTGGGTTTGTAAATTATAAAGACACATAGGTTAGAAGAAGCCATGAAGATGAAGGTACTTTTCCCTAAAAAGAATTATCTTAGTTCTCAGAGACAAATTTTAATCATAGTATTTTCAATTGCCTGTTCTAGGAGAAAGGTAGAACCTGGAGACTCCTTTAATCCTCCTCTGTGCTAATGGCAGCATTGTCCTACATTAAGGCCTTCACTTCTGTGGACAGTAAAAGCTTGACCTTCTGGTTGAGCTGGGTGAAAATGGAAGGCAGGAAGAGGAGCTGAATGTGTAACCGTGCTTTGCTTTCCTTTCCTGTAGCGTGTTCCATGGGAAACGGTACGAGCAGGCTCTACAGCGCTCTCACCAAGACACTGAACAGCAGCGCTGCCGCCCAGCACGCAGAGTATTTGGAGTCACCTGACCCGGAACATCTGGAGCCCATTGATCCTAAAGAGCTCCTTGAGGAATGCAGGGCAGTCCTGCACAGGCGACCTCCCCGGTACCAGAGGGATTTTGTGGCTCTGAGGACAGATCACCCCAGTAGCCACCCACCTATTAGGGTCATGCAATGGAACATCCTTGCCCAAGGTATGCCTGATGCTTTTGTTCCTGGACAGTTGTGTCGTGACAGCCTTTACCTCTGCACACTGCACATCAGAATGTCTTACGTGAAGGGAAGAGGTGTGGGCAGGTGGAGGTGTAAGATGGGATGATGAGGGCAGCATAAGCTGCCAGAAGGGCAAGTTAGGAAAGCCAGTCTTCTGGTTTTCACTAGTAAACCCAGCAACTCAAGATTTATTTCTTACCTTCCATGTTTGTAGACCATCCAAGTACAATGAAAATCTGTCTACTTCCCAGCACATCAGAATCTAAAGGACCCCGAGATTCCTGTTGTCTCCACATTTCAGTCCACAGCACTAAGATAGCATTTGCGAGGGAGACTGATTCTCCTGAGTGGGTCACATATACAACTCTCTGCAGGGGATGGGAGCTGCGTGGGCGCTGCTGACCCTGGGTACTCTCATGGCCAGATTCTCGTCCATATGCATCTATGTAACTTTAAGGTAGAGCTGTTGCTTCAGCTCTCTGCTCATTATATTAAATTGTTACCGCAGAAAGTAATCCTTTTCAGGATCTGCTGAATTAAGCAGCAGGTGTGTCAGTTAACATTCCTTACTATTATCTCTCCTGTAGCAGTTGAAACTTTAAGAAAAAAGGAATAAAGGCTGCTTTTTTGCCCTTTTCTCTCCTAGAAAAGGACATACTTGCTGATTTTCCAGTCTTTGGTTCATTTCTTTTTTCCAGATGTCCATCCATAAGTAGGGAAAGCTGCCCATTTAAAGTGGGCCCCACTCATTCCGAGTGGTGTCTATTATCAATTCATATGGCTTATTATAGTCAGTGTTGAAATTAGTACATAGAGTTAAATATATTATCTCACCTGACATAGTTTAGATCCCTGAAACTGCAGAGAAAACTGTTTAAAGCTAAAACTTAAAATACATAAACACTATGTCCATGAAATCGTTTTAATATGAAAGGGAATCAGTTGATTGCTTCATCTGGATGGTAAGGGGTTTTTTAGTTTGGTGGGTTAATGCAGTTTAGGTGAAAACTCACCCAAAGCACCCGAGGCAGGAAGCACTGGGAGGGTTTGAGATCACTCCCAGGTACTTAGAAGTCGTGGTTCTGCAGTAGCTGACAACCGACTGACTTCTTTATTTCAGCTCTTGGAGAAGGCAAAGACAACTTTGCACAATGCCCTGTTGAAGCACTCAAATGGGAAGAAAGGAAGTGTCTCATCCTAGAAGAAATCCTAGCCTACCAGCCCGATATATTGTGCCTCCAAGAGGTGGACCACTATTTTGACACCTTCCAACCACTCCTCAGCAGACTGGGCTATCAAGGCACGTTTTTCCCCAAGCCCTGGTCACCTTGTCTAGATGTAGAACATAACAATGGACCAGACGGCTGTGCCTTGTTTTTTCTCCAGAACCGATTCAAGCTAGTCCACAGTGCCAACATTAGGCTGACGGCCATGGCACTGAAAACCAACCAGGTGGCCATTGCACAGACCCTGGAGTGCAAGGAGTCCAGTCGACAGTTCTGCATCGCTGTCACCCACTTAAAAGCACGCACTGGCTGGGAGCAGTTTCGATCAGCTCAAGGCTGTGACCTTCTCCGGAACCTGCAGAACATCACCCAGGGAGCCAAGATTCCCCTTATTATTTGTGGAGACTTCAATGCAGAGCCAACAGAGGAGGTCTACAGACACTTTGCTTCCTCCAGCCTCAACCTGAATAGCGCCTACAAGCTGCTGAGTGCTGATGGGCAGTCAGAACCTCCATACACTACCTGGAAGATCCGGACCTCAGGGGAGAGCCGGCACACCCTGGACTACATCTGGTATTCTAAACATGCTCTAAGTGTGCAGTCAGCTCTCGATTTGCTCACTGAAGAACAGATTGGACCCAACCGGCTACCATCCTTCAATTACCCTTCAGACCACCTGTCTCTAGTGTGTGACTTCAGCTTTAATGAGGAACCTGATGGACTTTCATGAATACTTATCTGGGTCTTTTTAATCACGTCTTAACCAGCAATATTTCAGGAAGTATCCGAATTAAGTGGCCTGAGGAAGGAAGGACTCCCAGTTTCTCTCATTTCACTTTCCATGTTTCCAGCATGCCCTTGGGAAGGAATCCCACGAGTTCAAAAACCATTTCCATTAAAACCTACAGCAAAAAAGGCGTTTACACTCCAGTTTTGGCTGGTATTGTTTCCTTGCCCCTAACATTATATCTAGATCAATTAAGGGCATTCAATTAGGCTTGTTTTGAAGCTTTCAGTTGGTGATGTTATGTAACAATACTGTGAGTCTTCCATAATGACAAGTATGCAGAAGCAATTTCTCTAGACAGTATTTCAAGTTATTTATTTGTGGTTTTAAATGGCAGCAATATTTGCATGGCAGTATTTATTTTTTATATCTTCATGCACGATTAATAAATTATAGCATTATAAACATTTAAAGCCATGCAAAACATAAGTTATAAGGCTTTAAGATGTTTTTATTTGGAGCCTAACAAAATAGTAGTGTACAAAGCAACTATTTAGCCTGGAGGCCTCAGGCTTTTGTTTTTTGTATTTAAGTGGAAATAGCTTCTCTTCTTGATAAGTTCTTCATAAAAATTCTTGTTGTGCCTCCATGTTCCCCATTATTGTATTTCTTGAAGAGATTCTGGTCTTCATTATTTAATCACTATTATGCATTTAGAGTTTCCCATTAGAATGCTATTGGTATACATTTGAGGCCACTAATGTATTATTTGTATTGGAATGTGCTTTCTACAATAGGTTATTTAGGAGCTGTCATGTGGCAGCGGCTAAGAAGGTCAGTGGGATTTTTTCAAAGGTTGTCATTGAGATAGCCAGGTAACTGGTTCAAAGCATCTAGAAGGAATGTAAAAGGAAAGATAACTTGGAATTCTTTCATTGGGCGGGGGGAGGGATGTGGTAAAGATAACAGGTGAAGCCCATTCCAAACAAAATCCAAAAAAATAACCTGTTGGTAATAAATTGATAAATATTTTAACCCATGAGTTGTATATATTTAAGATTAATAAATGCTCTTTTAAAACTAGTATTTTAATACCTTGCGTTTTTGCTGTGGCCGGTTTTGCTCAGCGGTTAGAGCATCAGCCCTTGGACGGAAGGCTCTCGGGTTCCATTCCTAGTCGAAGGCATGTACCTGGGTTGCGGGTTCAATCCCCAGCCCTCGTTGGGGTCATGCAGGAGGCGGCCAATCTATGTGTCTCCCTCATGTCAATGTTTCTCTGTCCCTCCCCTTCCATTCTATCTAAAATATCCTCAGATGAGGATTAACAAAACCAAAATAATCTTGTATTTTTAGTTCAAAAAAAAAATCTGGGATAGATTTGATCTTTTAATACGGTTAACATGGTGGCCCACACTATTCACTTACACACAGATCTTCATTTTTAAAGCGGACAAAGGCTGATCTGTGACTGCACACTGAAGGCATCTTGGCTGTGCTCATGTTTATATGGCATCTCAGTGCCAAGGCTGCAGCTCCCAAAATGGTTCACCCACGTATTCTGCATGGGAGCCACTTTCGAAACAAATGACATTTTTAGTACATTGTATAGCTAAAATCTTGGGACTACCTGGAAGGAATGACAAGCAGAAATAATATCTGTACCATTTGGTTCGTATCTGAGTATGACTAATAGTAATCATGTTGCTGAGAACACTAATTAGAATACTTGTAAGTACAGGCATTAAATACTGTTTACCTACCCCCCAAAGTAGACCAACCTGAAGAGAAATGATCCATCACAACAGCCTTGAGTAAGCAAATCTGAATGAGAATGAAAGCCAAAGTAGTATGTGCATTTCAAATGTCCACCAATACAATCACCTGCCCCTTGATAGGGACACAGTCTGTGAAATGCATCAGCGGATTTCATCATCACGTGAACATCATAGAGAGTACTTACAAAAACTGGAGTGGTATAACCTACTACACACCTAGGCCAAATGGTATAGCCTATTGCTCTGTAGGGGGGAAATAATGTCCTTTTAGGCTCTTGGTTGAGACATCCCTGTTAACAAAATGAACAGGAGAAAAAAGTTTAATAGCACATATACCTCCTGCATACATGGGAGAGACCCAGGAAAACATTCGAGTAACACCAAAATGGCTGGGGCCACCACCATAAATACTATCTTCAGCTGAAGACAAAATGTTAGTAATGGGGGAGTCTGTTATGGGAGATTACCTGGAAAAGCACAACAAATAAGAGTGAGGTTGTCATGGAGAGTAAGGAGTAATGTATTACTGGCAACAACATTTATTGAGCTAAGAACAGATTTTAGAAGAGAGTTCAATTGGACATTCAGGAGAGAACAGCCAGTTGGCAATTAGATAAACCCATCTAAGGCTTAAAATAATAGGCTAGAACAATATATTTGGTAGTGAAAACTATGCATGGGTGAGATTACCTAATACTAATGTTGGGATGAAAACATAACAGTGAACATTTAATAGAGTGCTACGTTCCAGGCCCTGGTTCTAAATCCTTTAACGTACTAACTCACTTAATTCTTACAACTACTCTGAAGAAAAGAGCCCCATAGACAGAATCTTGGGAAGTACTAACATTAAATGGGAAAGCTAAAGGAAAGCAAAGTCAACTAAGAGTTGGTCTGGAAGGAGGAAAACAGCAAGAGGGGTGATATGGAAAATCAGGACAATTTAAGAAGGCTCAGGCACAAGATCACGTGGAGGAAGAAAAAGAAAAACCATCTGTTTGATTTGACCACTGGGTTATTGGAGACTTCAACAAGAACTGTTTCTAAGCCAGAATTCTGTTAAAGATGGAATGATGGGTATTAAATGTTGGAACAAGGAAACCAAGGTGTGAAAGGGAAGGAGATGCTGAGTGCAGGAAGAACGTACACTTGCCTCCCTCCAGAGATGGGGAAAGGCTGCATGCTGGAGTAAGGAGAGTCTTAGAGCTGGGCTTCCAGGAAGTGGGGGGAGTCTGCAGCTCATGACCTACGTGTTCTCTGTAAAGAGGTATACTGGTCATTTAGTAAGCAGGGTGGTGAAGGCTGGGTTCTGCTAGTAGGTGACCTGAGGCATAAGCGAACAGACTGCTGAGCATGACTCAAGCCTGGTGAGGCTGAGAACTGTAGACAAATCAAGCAGTTATGTGATTCTCCAATACACTGGACACAAAAGGCAAATAGAATGGTTTATAGTTCAAAAGGGTTGAAATTAAAAGCCATACAACTGGTAATGAAAATCACCAGAAACTCCAAACAGTGTACACTGTCAACATGTTTCCAAATTTAGACCATAGGTGTATTCTGATAAACAAAAATGTTAAGAGCGGTAGAGGAAGCTTGACAGGCCTGGCTGCACCTAATTAGAACCAATTAATAGAGTATAGGGGGAAGGAATTACTAACTACAGATTTAAGTTTCTTTAGCTATCCTCCATACCACATGACATATTCTTAGCAAATGTTACCAAAATCAATAAATGTCCGTATCCAATATGCTCAGCACTTGGGGAGGGGTGCAGGTATGCCAGAATCTATCCTCTTTGCCTTACAACAGGATTATGGAAGACATGACTCAACAAATGAAACTGCAATGCAAAAAGAATACAATTAATTGCCAAAGCACAGTGTAGGAAATATTTAAAGAGGTAGAATTTGAGATTAACTCTCAAATGGGATAATAATCAGGTGAGTTTTCTTTGAGCTTTTATTAAAAAGTACCATTGAGTATGTTTTTGGAAAAGATAAAAAAGATTACAAAGGGAGCTGCTATAAAAATCTTTTGTCAACTTACGTAGTATCAGATGAAATGCACAATTAAAGGCCACAAAATATTAAGTATCAGTTTATTTAAGTTTCTAAAAGATGTAAAAATAGACAACTTTTCTTTGTAGTAGAAAGCATTAAGATATGGAGTCACACGCCCTAGTTGGTGTGAAATTCGGAAACTCGCGTAATCCTTTGTAAAAGGGCTAGAGTATAACTTGTTCTTCCTAACCCTCAAAGAGTATGATTGAAAACAAATGGTCTTGATTTAAAATATAAATTCTTTAAGTGTGGCCGACATTAAAATAGTAAATTCATTATGGTAAGTAGAACATTATAGTTCATGATAGTAATTAGAAAAAAAGTGGCAACATGCAGGTATTTGCCAAAAATTAATACAAAAAGAACAAAACAAGTAGAATTTCTTACGCAGTAGTTGGGAAGGAGAAACAGGACTTCTATTCTTAACTAAAACAATGTCTCTATACTAGCTTTTGAATATTGTTATAAATATCACCAGAGACCAAAATGCAAGATAAATTTCTATATTTCAGAAAACCTACTTGAATACACTTTGAAACAAGAGTACAACAAAATAGAATATACTTCAAATGTTGAATATACAAACTATTATAGTTCAAATCTGAACACTGGTACTTTCCCTCTTAAACTTCAACTAAAAAAAAAAAAAAAGAAAGGAAGGAAGAAAGAAAACTCCAGGTATTAAGAGTTACCTGACAAAAATTCATGCTGAGTCTTAACTTCCAAGTGACAGGAGAACTGAAACTGATATGTCTGCACAGATGACAGGGCTAAGTGAATGACACAGGCATGTTACAGCAAAAGGCCAGAGCCAACTGTTAATTTGTCCACAATTAAGAAACTGACAGACTTAAACTACCATATAAAATGTTACATGTAAATTCTATAACAATACTGTGCTAGGTACAAGATTTTTAAAATTTTTCTTTTAATAAAAAAAGCTTTACACAAACAAGCCATTAGCTTATTTCAATAAAGAAAACCAAAAATTAGTCTAAGGCCTTTGTTTTAAATCAGCTTAAGCTATATGATATAAAAAAAAATCGCACTAGATCTTTTTTTGCTATCCTCTTCTGAAGCTTTTGGATCCATTCTTCAATTCACATTCTAAAATACCTATATTAGCAGTCTTCACATAGCACCAGTTAAGTGAGTTCTGTGTGAACACAGTAATTGCTGGTATGCATATAAAATGCATCAAAAATTGCTATATGTAACAATGAGATCACCCATCCCAACCCCTCCCCACTGAAAACTATAACCTCTTACAGAATGGTAGTGTTCCAAGTCTTAGTGTAACTTGATATTGTAGTGAGTTGCTTGGTCCCTTTCAATCCTTTTTCTTATTGATGGGTTCAGTTGTTTCCTACTGTAAGAGGCAGTTTTCTGTCAGCATCTCAATATGTAGTTCGTTTCCCACTGAAACATGGGATAGGTAACTTATTTCCAGTAAGTTTGATTGTTTTCCTATGTGCATTAAAAATGTTTTAAAGTCTCCTTTGACTTTTCTTGATGACATCCCTTGCAAATATTTATGTTAGTACTGTCACTAACAGTCTCAAGTCCACGGCAGAGCTGCTATTTTATTTCTCACATGTCACTAGTCCTTCAGTTTTCATAGTTACAGGAAGGGCAATAGCTGAAGGCGCACTGACAACCACTACGTGGGTCACTGTCTTATTTCCATCTGCCGGTTTTTCTTCTTGTACCAGCTGCAAAGTTTTCACATCATGTTCCTGCTTTATTGCCACTGCCTCTGATTTAACCTCTGGCCCTTTTATGACCGCACTGATAACTCGGGGAGGAGTCTGGCCAGATGCCTGCTGGGTAGGCACTGATAGTCTCATTACAGGTGCACCATGGGCTATGGAAACAGGAGTAAGTGCTCTCACAGCCAGGGGGGTTCCAACAATGTTAATGCTTCCTGATCCAGTCAAATTTGACTTCGTCTGCAGTTGACACTGTGCGAGCTGTGTAGCTGGGATGGTGATAATTTTGGCAGGCTGCATGGTGATTTTGTCTCCATTTTCAGCAGAGGCTGGCATCACAGTAGGGATTGTCTGAATAACTACCTTTGGAGAGGTTGCTGTTGTTGGACTAGTGCTGGTTATTAAAGGTGCACCTGCATTAACTGACTGAACTGCCACAGTTGAAATTTTCTGACCCAACGATGTCATTACAACAGGAACTTGCATTGCCACACGAACTGTCCTAGTAAATAAAAAATAAAGTTGATTGTATTTAATGCTAAATTAGAAAATAGATTTCTAGAGAAAAAGATGAATGCAAATACAGTATGTACAAACTAGTGCTCCCAAATTTTCTATATATACTGACAATCCCTGAAATTTAGAATATGAACTACCATAAAATAAATATATTTAGAAAACTAAAGCCCACATTAAGTTCTATCTATAAAACCACAAAAACCAATCCAGGTTAAATGAGACATCACCAACTTTAACAACAACAAAGTATGTTTAAATATCAGTGTGGCTCAGTGGTTGAGTGTTGACCCATGTACCAAGAGGTCGCCAGTCAGGGCACATGCCCAGGTTGTGGGCCAAATCTTCAGTGGGGGGCATGCAGGAGGTGGCCAATCGATGTTCTCTCTCATCCATGTTTCTCTCTCTCTCTCTCTCCCCTCCCTTCCTCTCTCTAAAAATCAATAAAGAAAAAAAATTTTTTTTTAATTAATAACCACCCTGGCCAGTGTGGTTCAGTGGTTAGAGCCTCAGCTTGTGCGATGAAAGGTCGTGGGTTCGACTGCCAGTCAAGGGCACGTACCTGGGTTGCAGGGTGGATCCCAGGCCCCAATTGGGGAGCAAGCGGGAGGCAACCAATAGATGTGTCTCTCTCACATGAAGTTTTTCTCTCTCTCTATCTCCCCCCCTTCCTCCTTCTCTCTCTCTAAAAATCAATGGAAAAAATATCCTTAGGTGAGGATTAACAACAAAAAATAAAATATCAAGTACTTTTCAAAGTTCTGACCAACAGTGGGTTCTTAGAATGCTTATATTAAAAAAAAGAACATATTATGCCAAGGAGTTTTCTAAAAAGAAATACAACTGAGAGGTTTCCCCCACTTACCTTGGAGCTGCTGTTGCTGACACAGATGTGGTAGTAGTAGGAGACCTGGATGAAACATCATGACCAGGGGAAGTGATATTCACAACTCTAGCTACACCCTTCTCTGCTCTGGAGCAGTTTAGAGGAGATGAGTTTTTCCCACCACGAACAGAGGTTGCCTTCAGGAGACTTTCTGCAGACAGTGACACTCGTTCTAATGATTTTTCATCAGTAGCTGCTGCTAAATCTTCATTACAGGTTTCACTTTTGTCATCATCTATGACCACTATGTTTTTGGGCATATCCTTGAACTGATATACAAGCCTCTGTCCTTCAACCTTTGCAAGAATACCCCTTTGGTAATAATATCTGTAAGGGGAAAAGTACTAAATGAATCAAGTATATTACATTCCTCAAAACAAACAAACAAACAAACAAACAAAAATATCACCATGCATAATGGATACTAACAGAAACATTCACTTATTTCTGTAAGATAACAAGGAGCTCTTCCTGCCTGGATTGTTCAAATGGCTGGGACCTAAAGTAGGAATAAAGTTGGAACCTGGTGCTACAGGTCCTATAACCTTGAGATATATAAAGTAGCTAAAAGTTCATTCTTGAAAGTAATTTAACCTAAATACTATTTTAGGAACACTGGTAAAAATTCAAGTCTGATTTACACAGGTTATAAAAAACAATCTGATGTAATGTGAAAAAATTAACTAAGGTGTACTTGGTAGCAATGAATCTGTGGGATATGTGAATACTGTCACATAAATTAAGTGTTCCTTTACAAACACCCTTAATTAGAAGAAGCCATGTACAAGTTTTCTGGGTTTCTCAAACTGACAAAAGAGAAATTTTCATGTCAAGATAAATCTATTATAATAAATTCACAAGAACTGAAGCAAATTAACAATCTGGAAACTGTTTCATTTGAGTTTAATTTCCTTAAAGGTCTAAACTCAACCTGGTATTAAGGAACAGTCCTAAGTGCAAAAGCACATTTTCTGCAAAAATGGATTTTCCAATCATGTCAAAATTTTAGACATCCAGACCAAATTCCTCTCTCCCCATCTACCTTCAAATCTAAGAAGCTTCTCTAGAATATCCCCCAGAATCCAAAGTTATAGTAAATAAGGGCTTTTCAAAGCTTTTTTAAAACAGCTAATAGGCACTACAGAGAGAGATGCAAATCTGAAAACGCTTTCCTTTGTGTTCTTACCTCAAAGCTCGTCCCATAGTTTCATAATTCATGTCTGGCTTGTTCTTATGCTTTCCCCAAAGCTTAGAGACAGCCTTTGAATCCACGAGCTTGAATATGCCCTTTTCTCTCTGAGTCCACTTAATATACCGGGGACAGGTATTTTTATCTTGAAGTAGATCTAAAAGAAACTCCCACAAATAGGTTGTGTTTCCTTTGAAAACAACGATAGACATTGATTAAAATTTCACTAACATAATTAAACACATAACCAAAAGCAAATATTTAGTTATGCTGGATAAAAATCAATTCACTTACTATTTGTGAAAACACAAATGTACTGAGTCTGTCATTAAGTACTAGACAATATTGGCAATCTTTGTAGTATCAAATTACGTTGTCTAGTAAGTAATGAAAGCATTATAACAAAATTCATAAATAGACTTGTTTGCTGGATTTTTTTTTTTTTTTTTTAATCCTCACCCGAGGACATTTTTCCATTTTTGTTTGGATAGAGTGGTAGGGAGAGAAACATCGACGTGAAAGGGACACGAATGGCTGCCTCCTGCACAACCCAACTAGGGCCAGGGACAAATTGCAACCAAGGTACATGCCCTTAGCAGGAACCGAACCCGGATCTCTCTGGACCGCAGGCCGACAACTCTAACCTCTGAGCCAAACCAGCCAGGGCTGTTTGCTGGATTTTTAAAATTACATGCTATGTATGTTTTCAGTTATGACACCCATATAATATATATCCTAAATTTTGTACTATCATATATCACCCTATCCTAGATTTTGAGTTCAATAAAGGCAAAGGCATTAATGCATAGCACAAAGTGAACCTAAAACAGAATAATATTTATGAATTTACAGATTTAAACTCTGAATAAATTTATTTGAACCTATATGTTTATTATATAAGCTCAAATTCTATGATCAAAATTCATCAAAAGGCATTTATGAATTTATTGAAAAGGTAACCAGTATGTGATGAAACAGGCAAAACTTTTAGGCATTGGTCTTACAAACTTTTTTTTTAATCCTCACCCGAGGACATTTTTGCATTTATCTTCAGATAGAGCAGGAGGGAGAAAGAAAGGGGGAGAGAGAGAAACTCGATGTGAGAGAGACACATCGAGTGGTTGCCACCCAGACCCCAACTGGGGCCAGGGACAAACTGCAATCGAGGTATGTGCCCTTAGCGGGAACCAAACCCAGGTCTCTCTGGTCCGCGGACCTATGTTCTAACTGCTGAGCCAAACCGACCAGGGACAGACTTTTTGTAATACTTTCTTTGCTTCACCCATAAGCATAAATTCTGAGGTACATATGTTATAAAGTGTAAAGTGCACATGACTCTTTAAAACCTTTCATCATAGTTATCAATGAAAGTTACTGCCTCTAAAAACAGATCTTAAAAAATTGCTAATCTTGCCCTGGCTAGTGTGGCTCAGTTCGTTGGAGCATCATCCTGTGCACCAAAGAGTGTTGGGTTCCGATTACTGGTCAGGGTACATGCCCAGGTGGTGGGTTTGATCCCCAGTGAAGGCATGTGCAGGAGGCAACTGATGCATGTTTCTTTCTCATCAATGTTTCTCTCTCTCCCTCCGCCTTCCTCTCTCTGAAATCAATTTTTTTAAAAAGCGTGACTTAGAACTATATCACTTTCTACTACTATACATCAAGATATATAGCTGGGGCATTGTTAGCTTATCTATTACCAAGTGATTATCAGGTCCTATAAGCAGACAAAGTACAAGTGAGCAAGCAGAGAGCTTATCATGGAAGTAATTTTTTTTTTAATCCTCACTTGAGGATATTTTTCTATTTATCTTCAGACAGAGCAGAAGGAAGGGGAAGAGAGAGAGAGAAACATCGATATAAGCCCTGGCCGGTTTGGCTCAGCGGTTAGAGAAACATCGATATGAGAGAGACACATCGACTGGTTGCCACCTGCACAACCCCAACCGGGGCCAGGAACAAACTGCAATCAAGGAACGTGCCCTTGGCTGGAATTGAACCTACGACTCACTGGTCCGCAGGCTGACGCGTAACCGCTAGGCCAAACCAGCCAGGGCTGGAAGAAATTGTTATACCACACAGACAATGTCCTGTATGTAGTAGGGATTTGAATTCTTGTGGATCTGTTGAATTAGACATATTTACATTCCTCATGTTATCTTGAAATGTTCCACCCAAGTTCCCACTCCCAAATAAAATTTTAAAATCCTATTTCTGGCTTTAAGGACAACAGAATTCAGAAAGGGAAGCCTTCTCTAACAGACCAGGAAGTTCATTAAGCCTATGCAGAATTATGATAATAATTCAGGTGTGTTCTGGTAATCAGGTAACTAAAAATTTATCACTTCCATGAATAAATGTTTTCAGACCAATATTCAATAGTTGGATCATTTTGGATTAATATGTTCATATTTATTCCATCCTCAACAGGTGCCAATTCTGCAGAAGAGAAAACACTGGCTGAATTTTTAATCCAGGTATGACTTTAATAATTTTAATCTTCACACTATAACATGCTGCTTCAATTTTACTAAAGGCCGAAATTTTAAAGGTAGTTTTATTGATAAAAACAGGTGTTCACAAAGTTCTGCTCCAATGCATAAGGTCTTTGAATACAAGAGATGCCACTGATGATGAAAATTTAAAAAATCGTAATAACTGTATAATTCAGTTTTCTAATATTTAGTACTATTATGTAAGTTTTTAAGTTTTCGATATAAATAGAAAGATAAAACCTAGGATGTCAGAAATGTAAAATGACCAAAGACAAACGAGGAAGTAAAAGTATCCTCAATCTGCCCTGGCCAGTTTGGCTCAGCGGTTAGAGCGTCGGCCTGCGGTCCGGAGAGACCCGGGTTCGGTTCCCGCTAAGGGCACGTACTTCGGTTGCAGTTTGTCCCCGGCCCTGGTTGGTCGTGCGGGTGGCAGCCACTCGATGTGTCCCTTCACGTCGATGTTTCTCTCTCTCTCCTTCCTCTCTCTCCCTCCCACTCTATCTGTACAAAAAATGGAAAATATCCTCGGGTGAGGATAAAAAAAAAAAAAAAAGTATCCTCAATCTGTCCCAAGATGAATTATAAGTTCCTAAATAGATTAAAAGTTCACTATAAGTGGGCCTTTTTGGTCTAAATTTCTTGGTAAGCTTACTAGAGACTTAATTTTTGCTTTAATTATTTAAAATTAGATATGTCAGACCACCTGTTGAGGATAGAATAAATCTGAATATATTAATCCAAAATGACCCAACTACAGAATATTGGTCTAAAAACATTTATTAATGGAAGTGATTAACTTTTAGTTATCAGATTACCAGAACACACCTGAAATCATTATTCAGACGAGATCAGGCACATTCAGGGTGGTATGTCTGTAGTTGAAATCATTATTCAAATATTACTTGACATCAACTTACTCAACAAATTAGGAGAGCACAGAATGTAGGAGGCTTGTTGCTATTTTGTTTCTAATGAGAATATACAAATTCTAAAGCAACAATTTTTGTTTTGATTCCTAATTGACACAATTCAAATTTGTTGACTGGGAAATTAAATGTGGCTTACCTTAAATTATTTATTGCACTGCTTCTATTAGTTAAGAAATAGTGTATCAAAAATAAAAATAAGTTTTGGCTGTAAGCTTCTTTCCATTCTAAGTGGCTCTCCGCGAGGATGATGCTGTCATACGTGCACATCCTCTAGAACAATGGCTCTTAAGAAGGGTATACACCAGACTGCATTTAGGACCTTTTCCAAATACAGACGCCCACCTTTTGCACTCCCCTAGTATATCTATGGCTACAGAATCTCAGTGTGGTAGGGACTGGGCATAGTTTGAAAAGCTCCGAGGTGATGCTGATATATCCGTTAATAAGTACTATTAAAGACAGTGCTCCACCGGCTAGAGCATCAGCCCGCAGAACAATGAGTCGCAGGTTTGATTCCGGTCAAGGGCACATATCTCAGTTGCAGTTCAGACCCAGCCCTGGTCAGATCATGCAGGAGGCAACCAGTTGATGTGTCTCCCTCTCTCCCTCTCTCCCCCTCCCTACCACTCTATCTGATGATAAAAAGAAAAAATATCCTCAGATGAGGATTAAAAAATAAAAAGTACTCCCACATGGGCATGTACAAGAAATAATTTTCTCACCAATGTAAAAATGTTTGAAAAAAAAAAATCATCTTCCCTCCAAAATAACCTCCCCAAATTACCTTTTCCTTCTCGGGGTTTCTTCTTTATACCCAACTCAGGAGACCCATTGGAAATTGGTGATTGCTGGGTCTTTGGTTTACGGCCAACTGCGAAAATAAGATATTGAAACCATACATTAAAAAAAATAATAATAAGCATGATTAGCAGATTCCTTGGTAACAACACATTATTCATGAAATTGAAGACCAATCTGTAGATTAATATATTCAGTATATACAGAAAGTCTCATCTAAGAAAAGCACTAAAAGCACTTCTACAATTTTAGATCAGAGCAGTTAGTTGGTACTACTCTCAATGTATATGGCAAGGCAGGTACTACTCACCTATTATTTACATGGTCAGAGCCTCCATTTGCTAACCTGTTCCAATAATGTGGCAATGGAAACAGATTCTACTACAAACTCTTTTTGTTTTCTGTTATACAGAATTGTTAGAAAAAGCTTTACTTAGCTGCTGCAAAGGATCTGATCATCTGTAAAGTCCTCTGAGCTCAAATGAGAAAAGGTAAAAATATCTTAAAACACTCTCTACTTCTCTGAGCCAATCACAGCAGAATTTAAGCATAAATATTTAAATTTCTCTCAAATATGCAGGTGCACTTTAAGGGTAAGAAAATCTTCCAAATGACTATTTCACATGTCTAGTAAATGTCTGTGTCCTTACTTCTGTTTCTCCTCACTTCTGCCAGAAGCCTTTTTCAGACTAGCATCCACAATGAACAGAAAAGAGCTATACTTCTGTACCCTAAAGAAGGTGTAAGCCTGAAATGCATTGTGTTCAATCCTCAGCACTGATGAATGAATGCTGGCAGGTGAACAGAAGCCTCAACAAAGAGATTGGGAATATTCAAGTATATTATCCAGTGGTCCCCTCTTACCTGTGGGGAATACTATGCAAGATCCCAGGTGGATGCTTGAAACTGTAGAAAGTACTGAACCCTGTGTATACTGTTTTTTCCTATATGTACATACATGCCTTTCCACTTGGAAGCACTTTTCAGCTTCTCTTTGGGATATCCAAATTGCCAGCATCACTACTCTTATACTTTGGGGCCGTTATAACATAAAATAAGGGTGACAAGCACTGTCATACGAATCAATCTGGTAAATGAGACAGCCACTAAGTGATTTAAAGGGCAGTGAGCATATACAGCATAGAGACACTAGACCAAGGGAGGATTCACATCCCAGGGTGGACAGAGTGGGAAGGATCAAGATTTCATCACACTACTCAGAACTGCATGCAACTCAAAACTTATGAATCATTTATTTCTGAAAATTTCCATTTAATGTTTTCAGACCTAGGTTAACTGTGGTTAACTAAGACCATGGAAAGCAAAACCACAAATAAAGAGACTACTGTATTTTCAGATTAAATACATGCACATATTTTCTTATTGTGCTCGGCTTTATTGTGCTTTGCGGGTACTGCTGTTTTGTTTTGTTTTGTTTTGTTTTAACAAATAAAAGGTTTACAGTCGAGCAAGTCTATTGGCACCAATTTTCCAACAGTAATTGTTCACTTCATGTCCCTCTGTCACATTTTGGTAATTCTCACAATATTTCAAGCTTTTTCGTTATTATTATATTTGTTATACTGATCTGTGATCCGTGATCTTTGATATCACTGCTGTTGTTTTGGAGTGCGATGAATCACATCCACATAAATGCTGTATGTGTTCTGACTGCTCTAAGCTGTTTCCCATGTCTCTCACTTTCCTCAGGCTTCTATTCCTTGAGACACAAAATACTGAAATTAGGCCAATTAATAATCCTACAATGGCTTCTAAGTGTTCAAATGAAAGAGCCAATCACTGCAGCATTGTTGTCTTATTTTAAGAAATTGCCACAGCCACCCCATCCTTCAGTGACCACCCACCCTGATAGTCAGCAGTCATTAACCTCATGGCAAGACCCTCCGCCACCAAGAAGATTCTAACTCACTGAAGGCTCAGATGATGGATAGCATTTCATAGCAATGAAGTGTTCTCTAATTAAGATACATATACTTTTTAGATATACTGTTATTTTTTTTTTTTTTTCATCCTCACCCGAGGACATTTTTCCATATTTTGTACAGATAGAGTGGGAGGGAGAGAGAGGAAGAGAGAGAGAGAGAGAGAAACATCGATGTGAAAGGGACACATCGAGTGGCTGCCACCCGCACGACCAACCAGGGCCGGGGACAAACTGCAACCGAGGTACATGCCCTTAGCAGGAACCGAACCCGGGTCTCTCCGGACCGCAGGCCAACGCTCTAACCACTGAGCCAAACTGGCCAGGGCTAGATATACTGTTATTTACTGCACACTTAATAGTGTAGACATAACTTTTATATGAACTGGAAACCAAAAATTCATGTGACTCACTGGCAATATCTCAAAGGTAAGCCTGTATACTATTACGGATTTGGTGATTGTCATACACCCAGGATTTATGTCACTCTACTGCTCACTAGCAAGGACTATTTCCAGCCAAATAAAGAACTAAATAGACCCAGAGACATAAAAAGGAGTATGCCTCAGACCGACAAACCTCAGAGTAGGGGGGTTGGAGGGGTGGATGAAATGAACCAAAGAACTTATACCCATGTATGCATAACCAATGGACACAGACAACAATGCTAGGGGGTGGGGGAATGGGATGGAAAAGAGGGTGTCTGGGCGGGGGGGGACATCTGTAACAAAAATAAATTAATAAAAATTGGGGGGGGGACTAAATTAGAGTACCTTAATTTATATTTTAAAATGCACAGCTATTATGATCTAGGATTTCATTATGATAATTCTAATCAATGAGAAACATGCTTTGTCAAAATTCACTGGTCTCATTAAAATAGAGCTTAATTTCTCAATTTAAAGAATATTTATATGTACAAATCAATCAGTAATGAGAGTAACATCTTTACTGTCTCCTAAATTCAAGCACAAAAGCCCCCTTCCTTAATGGAAAGGTTAGCCCAAAAAGGCTTACTTTATTTTCTTATAAAGTAGCATTTCTTAAAATCATATTACTTGAGAAACAGGTTATTCATCAGTAGGAAAAGGGTTCTACAGTCAAATAAACGTTTAGAACACTGCATGCTCTTAGAGATTCACAACACACATTAGTATATTCAAACATCTGGAAATACAAAAGGCTGTGCTATTAAAAAAGAACCTACCTAACTGTATGTCCCAAATGTACTTAACCACTAATAAATAAATAATGATGTTATATGTAATTGTTAAATTAAGGCCAACTATTTTTAAATATATAGAATTGGTTTACATTGGCAAATTATTTCCTAGTTTATATCAAACCACACCGGTTAATTCTATATAACAACCTGTTTATCTAGAGGTCTTGGTTCCCTAAATGATGGCAGCTTTTCATGGCTTTTTCCATCTTCTTTTAAACCTAAAAATTTCTTAAGTATTTTGTCATAGCTCACATTGGATACAATCAGCAAAAGGCTACAGTGGGCAGTCCTCACAGGGCTATTAATATGGACGTCTTTTTCTCTTAAATATTTACAGCAGGAAGTGATTCTTCCTTCTAAATTTTCTCATTCATTCCTCTCTCAAGATACACATAATCTATTTGTATTATATAGGGAAGACCTTCTTTCTTATTCCTCATTGTATCCCTCACAGCAGTAAGCACAGACCCATGAATATCAATTTGAAACACTTCTGTCTAATAAGAAAAACACCACTATTTTTTTTTAAATCCTCACCTGAGGGTATTTTTCTATTTATCTTCAGATGGAGTGGGAGGGAGAGAGACAGAAACATCGATGTGAGCGACACAACGACTGGCTGCCTCCCACACGACCCCAACCAGGGCCAAGGATGAACCGCAACTGAGGTATGTGCCCTTGACCGGAATCGAACCCGTGACACTGGTCCAAGGGCCAACATTCTAATGCTAAGCCAAACCAACCAGGGCAAAACACCACTATTTATAGTAAAAGTTTTCCTTTATTTTTGCCTTTGATCCCCCCCCCCCCATTCTACAATGTGAAGAAAAAGGAATTAGATGAGTACCCATTTATATAGGATTTCATTTCAAGTTTTACCTTTGATTCATACAGAAAAAGAACCTATTTGCTGCCCATCTCCTTGGGATGCTGGAGATGTGTTGGAGCCTTGTGCCCCACCTATCGGAATCAGGTGAGTAGAAGTCTCAACAGGAGACAACTAAGTGGAAATACTCTTTAGCTATTGGTGAATTTATTTCACTTTTAAGTCCCCAGTGGCAATATTGGTATTTAAAAAAAGGCATGGCCCTGGCCAGTTTGGCTCAGCGGTTAGAGCGTCGGCCTGCGGTCCGGAGAGACCCGGGTTCGGTTCCCGCTAAGGGCACGTACTTCGGTTGCAGTTTGTCCCCGGCCCTGGTTGGTCGTGCGGGTGGCAGCCACTCGATGTGTCCCTTCACGTCGATGTTTCTCTCTCTCTCTCCCTTCCTCTCTCTCCCTCCCACTCTATCTGTACAAAAAATGGAAAAATATCCTCGGGTGAGGATAAAAAAAAAAAAAAAAAAAAAGGCATGAAAAAGAAAACTGGGCTTTTATTTTCCTGCCCACCAAAGAGTAAAAAGACAAGATGATGAAAGAGAAAGACTAAATTTCTTTAAAAAGGTAACCAAGTACTTAAAAGGACCAAAAACTAGAAAAATGTACAGTGAATCTCTCATCTTCCTTCTGTGTCTAACACCTGTTATAATCTCATTTTCAAGCAACTACTTTTAGGACTTAAATATTAACTCCTTTAAAACAATACAAACATGTTAAAATACAAAATTAAAATCTCACCCTGGATAGCTTGGCTCAGCGGTAGAGCCTCGGCCCGCGGACCAGAGTCCCGAGTTCAATTCTGGCCAAGGGCACGAGCCTTGGTTGCAGTTCATCCCCAGCCCCAGGTAGAGACATTGGTTGCAGGCAGCAACCAATGTCTCTCACATGGATGTTTCTCTGTCTCGCTCTCTCCCACTCTATCTGACAATAAATGGAAAAATATCCTCAGGCGAGGATTAAAAAAAAATTAAGCCCTGGCCAGTTTGGCTCAGCGGTTAGAGCGTTGACCTGCGGTCCGGAGAGACCCGGGTTCGGTTTCCGCTAAGGGCACGTACCTTGGTTGCAGTTTGTCCCCAGCCCTGGTTGGGTCGTGTGGGTGGCAACCACTCGATGTGTCGCTTTCACGTCGATGTTTCTCTCTCTCTCTCTCTCTCCCCCTCCCACTCTATCTGAACAAAATATCGAAAAATGTCCTCGGGTGAGGATAAAAAACAACAACAAAAAAAACAAAAATTAAAATCTCAATCTGTTGATTCTTTGAAAATATATAGCTAAGATAACATCAATAATAAATCTAAAGTATATATTTCCTACATCCTATATCAGAAAAAATTTCACCTACTTTTCCAGAAATTAATAAATATAAATGTACTCTACCTTTTTTCTTTTTCATTGGTTCATGGCTATCTGGTGATGTAGGAATAGGAGAGGTATCCATTGGTTCAGATTCTTCAGTTGACACCTCGACTACAGTTTCTGTAATGACATCTGGCCTCATAGCAGCGTGGATAAATTCTGGAGTTGATACACAAGGAGGGACAAACACTTCCACTACAAAAAAAAGTTGAAAAATTAAAATTTCCCACCCCCATTAATGCTTCTTAATGTAGACAATTCAATAATCTATTTTTAGTAGAGGCGAAGTTTATTAATAATTCATCACAGCAGGGCTAAGAACTTAAAGTTTACGTGCTGAAAATGCAATATGAACAAAAGTATGTAAGAAAATAAAATGCAAGAAAAATAAACTTGAAGAAAATGTTAATCGTCTGGGTAAGGGGGGGAATAAGTAGTCAGCTTCCATTTTTCACACTTTTATTTTATTTTATTATTATTTTTAATCCTCACCCGAGGATATTTTTTTTTTCATTTTTCCATTTTTGTTCAGACAGAGTGGAAGGGAGAGAGAGAGAGAAACATTGATGTGAGAGAGACACATCGACTGGTTGCCTCCTGCATGACCCTGACCAGGGCCAGGGATGAACCGCAACCGAGATATGTGCCCTTGACTGGAATCGAACCCTCAACTCTTTGGTCCGCAGGCCAACGCTCTAACTGCTGAGCCAAGCCGGCCAGGGCTCTTTACACTTTTATATACAAGGTTGGGTAAAAGTCAGTTTATAGTTGTTCATATAGAAAATAATACAATAATAAATAAACTCTGTTTTGCTTACTCACAACTATAAACCAACTTTTTCTCCACCCTGTAATTTCAAGCTCATTGTAGAAGACTGTATTATTGGGAAAATACTTGAAAATAAATAATAATGAGTTCTTTAGTAATTACTTTCCTTCCATGTACCCATTATTCTCTAACTAGGTAATTCATGCACACAGTATAAAATTTAAAACATTTGCCCTGGCCGGTTTGGCTCAGCGGTTAGAGCATTGGCCTGCGGTCCGAGAGACCCGGGTTAGGTTCCCGCTAAGGGCGCGCACCTCGGTTGCAGTTTGTCCCCGGCCCTGGTTGGTTGTGCGGGTGGCAGCCACTCGATGTGTCCCTTTCACATCGATGTTTCTCTCTCTCTTCCTCTCTCTCCCTCCCACTCTACCTGAACAAAGAATGGAAAAATGTCCTCCGGTGAGAATTTAAAAAAAAAAAAAATTAAAACATTTAATAAATATGATTTCAGTGACAAGGACATACAATTTATTTTAAAATATGAAGAAAAGGCCCTGGTCAGTTCAGCTCAGTGATTAAAGCGTCAAGTTCAACTCCTGGTCAAGGGCACATACCTGGGTTGCAGGTTTGATCTTAGGCCCTAAGTGGGGATCATGCAGGAAGCAACCAATCACCATGTCTCCCTCACACTGATCATTTTCTTTCTCTATCCCTTCCTCTCCCTCCCTTCTATTCGATTAAAAATCAGTGTAAAAATATCCTCAGATGAGGATTAACAACAACAAAAACGGAAAATCTACTCATTACAGCTCAATGAACATCATCTTTCAATATTTAAAACTTTATTTAATGGAACAGTCCTGAATTTTGAGTCACTAAAATATTACATATGGATTGCTATTTGGTCCTCTATTACCCACAATTATGTTGTTCTCGCTTTCTTCCACTGTGTGTAAATAATCAAGATGTCATTTCCATTTCAATTAAGAGATAGTTAATATCTACTACTCCCATGGATTAACACACTAAGCAGTATGTCCTAATTTTCTTCTCATGTTTGTGATTACATAGGATTCCTATTCTACTTTAAAAGTCTGGATGCTCTTAGTATTTATTATAAAACCCTATAGAAGATCCAATTTACTGCATCAGTCAAATTAACATCTGAACATTAAAATGAGGACAAATGAAAATTTGGACAACATAACTCTCAAAGGCAGCCTTAAAGGAAGGAAAAAGAAAAAAAGGACCCAAGGAAAACTCGCAGCATGAAGGGAGTGAGAGGAAGCTTCCTTCTCTCTCCACAATGAACGATTCCCTGGAGTCCCAGCCATTTATCACTGAATAAAGAATTAAAAGTGGTCATAGGAGGTAACCATCCCCACCTGCTATTCACTTAAGGACTACTGTACAAAGGTTTATAAATTTATCCAGAGTTAAGGAAATAATACATGATAGTATAAATAGTAACTTAATAAACTTCTGTCTATAGTGGGCATTCATTTATTATGAAAATTAAGTATTTAAGACCTGGAAACTTTGACAAATAAACATCAATTACTGCTGTCACAGGTATTCATGTAAAACAGATCTTGAGTACACCAACAATCCCCTTGTATTTAAAAACAAATTTCATTCTAGATATATAAAGTGATGTGACAGTTTTAATATAAAAAAGGGCAGTTCACATACCAGGACTTCTTGAATCCCTCAAGCAGGTAGGAGATTCCATATGAAGCAGGGCTTCAGCAGCTTCAATTGTCTTATCTGTACAGTGTGCATTACTGCTATGAACTGATGCTTCCACTGGGGGGGAAATAAGTTCTACTCAATTAAAAATGCACTGAATGCATTACTAAATGAAAACACATTGCTGTAGAAGACATAAATATAAATTAACTCGTGCATAACTCTAAGTCATTGATATACATTAACTTACATAAATTATTTATAGAAATACTTTAAACATCAAAACAATCTATATTCTCACTTTGTAATGGTGACTAGAATTACTGAGAAATTTCTGAATTTTATCCAAAGTAAAACAAAGAAAAACCCTTAAAATTTTAAACCTGTGTCAGTTTTAGGCCAAAACTAACCTAGGCAGAAAAAAGGATGGTTGTGGATTAACAGTCCTAAAAAGTCAATTACATATTTTGATATACTGTTACTAAAATCAGAAGTAATGTTGAGTATCAGAATCAGTCAGAAACACATATTTCTAATTTAATGAATGAGTTCAATTCCTACAGACCCTCCAGGGTGAGTGCATTAGCTGCAGCACCAAAGCATGTGGGAATCTTCTTCACGTGGGAATCTTCTTCACAATAACCCTGCTCTCTCCTTCAGGACCTCACTAGACTTTGCTGGGTGTTACCCAAGAACTTTCTTTTAAAGACTTTTTATGGGTTTTTTTTCCTTGCATTTATTTTATGCTTAGCTGGTTGAATTATCTGTGAAGCAGTCAAGTGTACAGCAGTGGTTTGGACTTCCAGGTCTAAGAGCTTGGGTTCTAGTCTCTGCCGCTTATAATTTCTGTTACCCTAGGCCAGCAATTTAATTTCTTATAAAATCCTCTTTCCTAAAACAGAAGTACTCCCTTACCTCATATAGTTGTAAATAAAGTGAGGTGACTCCCATAAAAAACATACACATAGAACCCTGGCCGGTTTGGCTCAGTGGTAGAGTGTTGGCCCACGGACCAAAGAGTCGCGGGTTTGATTCCGGTCAAGGGCACATACCTCGGTGGCAGTTCGTCCCCAGCCCTGGTCAGGGTGGTACGAGAGGCAACCAGTCTATGTGTCCCTCTCAGGTTGCTGTTTCTCTCTTTCTCCCTTTCTCTCCCTCCCACTCTATCTGAAGATAAATAGAAAAATATCCTCAGGTGAGGATTAAAAAAAAAAACAAGAAATATACATATAGATAAGAATTCAATAAATGGTAATTAAAAATCACTCCTATAAGATTATAAACACTTCGAGATCAGAAGGGCTATATTAATTTGTCTTTATATGTGTTACAGTTCCTAAACGACTTTGTATCTAGTAGGCATGCATGTCTTTTATGTATTGAAGTTAAGTAAACCCACCAACATTACAGAGAAATAGGAAATTCAAGCACAAACATATTATCTTAACAAAACAGTAATTCCACATCCTGACTTAAAATACTGAGTGTTTTACTTGGTAAAAGGTTCTGAAACATGAATATGTGATAGTGTCTAATCCCCAAAAGGAACTAAAAGGAAATATTTATACAAATTCCATAAAACCATATTACAAACACACAAGTTCTACACACTAAAAATATGAATCTTTTAAAACAGTTTCCAGGAAACTTTTAATTGAAAAAAATTTTCACTTAGTCTCAAAACTCCCCCAAGGCTAAAGGCTCCACCTTAAACACCAGTCATTTGGAGATCATTTATAAAAAAAAAAAAAAATCCAGTGACTGTTTTACCACCTGTTGCACATCATCCACACTCTCAACCAAGGTACTGGGTCTCTCCAGTTGCTCTTTCCATTTATGGAAATCTGCTCAAAGCTGACCGGTTCCAGAGAGGCAGCCAAACCTCTAAGTAAATCTATCTTTAGGTGACCCTGCTTACTCTTATCTGCAGCTTCACTGAAGCAAAGGATTCAATCAGTCCTTCCAGCTCAACTTTAAGAAACTTAGTATTAGTAAGTATAAAATATATTACAATTCTCAAGTATTTTTTTTTTCAAAGTAACTCCCTATAATACTCTCATGCACTAAAGAACCCTGATAAGCAAATTCTCAGGTTTTTAAATTTTGTTCTAGGAACTTCATTCTCTTTAAGGTCTGCTTGTGTTGCAGTTTAGCTGTTGTCTTAGGTGCTATTAATAAACCATCCTGGGTAAATTCCTTATGTAATTGTATTAAGACATACCCTAAAAACTATTAAAATCACAGCTTCAAGCATTTGATAATAATACAGCAATTGAATTTTATCATGCCCTGGCCAGTTTGGCTCATTGGTTAGTGTTGGCCTGCGGACTGAAGGTCTCGGGTTCGATTCCTGATCAAGGGCACAAACCTGGGTGGCAGGTCCAATTCCCCGCCCCAGTCGGGGTCGTGCAGGAGGCAACCAATCGATGTGATTCTCTCACATTTATATTTCTCTTTCTCTCTCTCTCTTCCTTCCTTTCACTCTAACAAAAAATAAAAGAAAAGAAAAGAAAAATCAATGGAAAAACATCCTCGGGTGAGGCTTAACAAAAAAAGAAGTTTATCATTTTTTAAGTTATAAGCAAATTGAAATTTGCCTAGCAGTTACATATTATGCTGCCCTGATTCTTACATAGTTTGAGGTACATTTTCAAAAACATAATTTCACATTAGTTATGTCAGTGGAAATTATTTTCTTGCTTATATTTCTGACCTCAACATATTATTACTTATTATATTTTCCCAGAGATTTTATATTTCCAGACTAAAACAAATAAAATACATACAAACTTAAGAAGGAAATTTACTTATTTATACTTTAAATTTAGGATGAGAATATAGAAAATGCATATTTTCTATGAAGTATCAATCAGAAGATCTAAAACTCTTATGTACAGTCAACAAAAGTTGTTAAGCATTTACCATGACGTGCCAGATTCTATGCTATAAAACTGAGATCAAAGTATGACTAGATCGCTGGCTTTGTGAAGCTTATACTAATAGTTCAGATAATGACAAAACATGTATGGAAGTAAAATATTTCAAAAGTAAGTGAAAGTGCAAAATTAATTTAAAGTTGCTCTGTAAACTAACAGTTTAAGAGTACCAATTTCTTTCATTTTTTGATGCTGACTGATTTTATTTTTGTCATTTTATCTTTTTTTACTTTTCTTTCATTGACATATGTCAACAAGTCATTTTTTATAACAGAGATTTAATAAATATTTCTCCTCTTCAAGTTTCCATAATTTTAAAAACTTTTTCATACTAGTTTTCTGATCAATAATTCAAACACAATTTAAACTAAAAATTTTGCACAACTCTTAAGAATAAACATGAATTTAACAGTGTCGGGCAATCAAAGTAAGCAAACTATAAGCAAGGACTGAAAATCCCTCTTTTCTTACTTAAAACCTGACTTAGTAGTGTCTTTGTAGACCTGTGTATGAAAAATATGGGAGGAAATAATAAGCAACTCATTTCAAAAATAGAAACAATGACGCCATAAGTAATCTAACAGATATTTTCTAGTTAACACTTATAGTTGGTGTTGCTGGTTAATACTTCTTAAAGAAATAAATGTATCAAATAAATTTCAAAACTATTTTAATTTTAATCATAGTGTAGTGCCATTAAATTTGATTATGCCTTCTTTTACTATTGGTAAATCTTCTTTTTCCATTTCTAGCTTTCTAATCAACTAGTGTTTTTATGGTAGACTATTCCAGACTCATTCAACAGCTGTTACTAAATACCAAACTTGGTAATTAAGTCTGACAAGAGACATACCTCTCAGCTTTGCAAAAGAGAATGCTGGCAATGAATTTAGTTCATAACAATGTTCTTACAGTCAAAAATAAAAATTAATAGCAATTTAATTTGAGAGCAATGGAAAAAAATTCAAAACACTTCATTAGGTGATAATGGTATTCCCCCCTACAAGCAAGACCACAAACTAACATTACAAGGTCATCATTCAAGAACTACACCTGACTTGCTACACGTTATCCTCTAATGCCCCAAGGCTATAACATAACAGATGAGTGAAGAATACAAATAAATGCTATAAAAATAGGGAAAAAGTAAAGGTCCGGGACACTCCATCTTTGCCTGTTCCCCTCTGACTTTCTAATCAATAGCTGTGTTATAAGGCTTAAAAGGGGAAGAGAATAAAATTACTTTCTAAAGTAGAGCTGTCTGGCCCTACTGGTGTGGCTCAGTGGACTGAGCGGTACTGGTTTGGTTCCTGGTCAGGGCATATGCCCCGGTTGCAGGCTTGATTCCCAGTAGGGGGCATGCAGAAGGCAGCCTATTGATGTTTCTCTCTCTCCCTTCCTCTCTCTCTAAAAAAGACCAATAAAAAATATATTTTCTTAAAAATAGGTTAATGCTTCAGACTTTAAAAAAATAAATGAAATAAAGTAGAGCTTTCTGATAAAAATATAGCATGAGCTACATATAATTTTTAAATTTCCAGCAACCACATTTTAAAAAGCAGGTGAAAGTAATATCTTTCATTTAACTCAGAATATCCAAGATATTATTTCAACATGCAATTGACATAAAGTTTTCCACTACTTCAGTTTTTACACTTAATTAAAATTTTTATAAATTAAAAATTAAGTTTCTCACCCACATTTCATGTACTCAATAGCCTCATGTGGCTAGTGACCACAATACTGAAAAGTATTAACTAAATAAAACTATGTCAGTTGTTCTCAAACTTTTTGGTAAAAGGACCCTTTTACACCCCAATTATTGAGGACTGCAGAGATTTTGTTTATATAAATAGTCCCACGTATATTTATATAATTTGAAGTTCAATCTATGAAAACTTTAAAGTATTTATTAACTCATTTAATAAATATTACTGCAAATGTAAGTAATGTTTTTATGCAAAATAACCTTTCTAAAACAAAAACGTTTAGTGAGTGGCTTTGTTTTACACTTTCATAAATCTTTTATTAAATACATGGTGGAAAACAGTTGGACTGTTGGACTTGCTTCTTCATTCAACCTGTTGTAATATCAAGTCATGTAGCCTCCAGAAAACTTCTCTGAACACCCGTGAAAGTGAGAGGTAAATAATGTCCTAGTATTACTATGAAAGCAATGTT